CTGACCTTGTGATTAGCTGCCCAACATCTATCCCACAGTGCCACTGGGGCTCCTAATAACCACAGCCATCGAGTCAATTCTGACTGAGAGCAATCCTACAGGGCAGAATAGAACTGCCCCTCTGGGTTTCTGAGGCTGTAAACCTTTACAGGAATAGTAAGCCTCATCTTTTCCCTTCCAAGTGGCTGCTGTAGTGGAACTGCTATTTAGCAGCCCGCTGATGCCACTAGGCTCTGTCGGCCCCTACTAGTGTCTTATTAAAATACTGTTTTCCACAGTTACTTACTTTATTCCCCACTCCTTTCATTGTGTTTATGCTGTTCATTTTCATGCCGTAGTCTCATTTTGGATTGCCTTTGTGTCCTCTTTGGGTTTGTAATTTCTGTGCAGTACACTTCTTTGTGGTGTAAAATCATATGGACTTTGAAGTGCATAGTGTATGCCACTCAGCGACGACTGGGTTCGTGATTTAGAGCAGTTCCATACTCCAGACATTCTGCTGTGCTATTTTTTTAATGTAAAAAATGATACAGCAACTTTACACAAGTTTGGACCTTTTTTGGAATATTTTTGTGTTGTGTTTAGAATTTTCTTCTCTTATATCTGGGTTCTACTGTCCATTTCAATGATGTACACTATGGAGTACACAGAACTCATAGACAATAGTCACGATGAAAGAGTTTATTAAGGAAGTCAACAGGTTGTAATGCAATGGAGAAATAGGATAGAGTTCAATAGGACATGCTACAAAGTTATTTCCAGGCTGCTAATAGTTGCCAAAAACTACTGCCACTCCGATGTAAGGCTTAACCAGAAGGCATTCAGCACAAGCTCCAAGGGTCCGCAAACACAGCATGCTGAAATGAAGTACCCAGAAGCACCCCACTCCAGTAAGCCTCCGTCTAAAGGCATTCTGCTCTGTTTCCATGGATCGGCAAGTTCAGCTCCCCCAGCTTAAGTGCCCGGAGTGCCCCCTTTCACAAACCACATCTTGCCCCAAAGCATTCAGCTGTACTTGCTCCATGGGCTGGGAAGTCTACCCCTCCGCTTCCTGCTCTGGCTCCTGGTTCTGTGCTGCTCCACTGGGCTCCCAGTTGTCTTCTGGACCCAGGAGGTTCATTGCACAGGGTTTCAGGTTCTCAGGATACGCTCCCCTCCTGGCTCCTGCTAGTAGTGGGATAGCCCAGTCCTGCTTCTCCGAATGCTCATTTTATACCCAGCAGGGAGGTAATCTCAGTGAATCCTGTTACCAGTCACTCACAGGTGAATCTCATCAATATCTTCCCCCACCTTCTTACCAGAGCCACACAGGACAAAGATGGTTTGGAGGAAATTAGAGACTTTGGCCAGAAGAAACACGTTATATAATTCAGTGCCATTTTGACTGGCCTCGTTTTATAGGCATATTTTACAACATTGTGATTTTTTTTTTAACATTGTGATCTTAATGTTTGTTTGTTTGTTATCCTTTGGTTTCAATTTCTTAACAGAAAAATCGAGAAATGCTCTCACTCATTATTTGATCACACATCTAACTAAGGTGACCACACTTCCCGCTTTTGGCGGGACAGTCCCGATTTTTAACAATTTTGCCCACGTCCCGCGGCATTTTTAAAAAGTCCCGATTTTTGGAAAGAATGCACGACAAGCTAGAGTATACAGTTTCCGGCTGCCATGTGGCTATTTCGCCAGGATATGAGTCTTATCAATGGTGTCCATCTTTTGTCCCGCTTTACCAATGTTAAAATCTGGTCACCTTACTCAAATAGGACTCAAAAGATTCTAAACTGTACTTTGTATCTTGAATTAGGTACCCAGGAAGAGTTTACAAACATTGTTTGAACTATTTAATCGTACTTCTAAATTGTACCTTGTGTCTTGCGTTAAGACTGCACAGTATTAGTTTCCCAGCATTATTTGAACTATTTTATGATTACATATGCTGTTAGACAATTTTCAGTTTCAGTATTGCCATTTGTGCAATTATTTGAATGTTGTTAGGCTCTATTCTCAGTTTGACCCACCCATTTGGTACTGTTTTATAAAAGTAGTAAATGGCAGAGAAAGGGGGTGGGGGGAAACTAGGGCAAAACCACACCTCTGTGGGAGGAGGCCAAGTCTTGGGCCAGCCCTTTGGAAGGAAGGTTTCAGGCAGAACACCTGCCCCAAGAGGGCCCTGGTGGGCAGCACGTCTTCCTGTGTGCAGGAAGGTGAGGGGCAGATTCCAAACCTCTGCTCTGGAAAGGGGAGGTCGGATAACAGCACAAGACAACAGTGGAAGGAAGCAAGCAGCAACTGAGGAGTAGAAAAGCACACACTGTCATTTGAGTTGCACCTCGGCTGATGCATAAGGCTTAGCGGCAAAGGGTGCGTGAAAGAGGCAGCCAGACAAAGGGCGCCTCATTGGGAAGCTAGAAGGAGATATGGGGAGTTAAGGGTGTGTGGGTGGGGTAAGATTTAATTTTGAAAATTCTGTTTTCTTGTTCCAAGAGTGGGGGACTAGTGGAGGTAACTTCGGGGAGGTGTAGAAGGTTATAGTTGATGTTTTAGGTGTATTATTGACGATAACCCAAGGGAAACGAGAGTGGTAGGAGTCTCAGGACAGGCCCTGTTGTCACATGCTGAGCATACTGTACCCTGTGTGACTAGATCTGGTGACGCAGGGAGACGTGAGGACATCGTTTAGGTCAGTCAGCATCTGTTAGGCCCCCAGGCTGTTTAAAAGCATTTTGATATTGTCTTTGTAGTAGAAGAGAACACAAGAAACAGTGTGGTAAACTGGGAAATACTAATGTGAGACAAACCGTTACTGTTTTTCACCACCACTCTCCCTCCTGCCGGGCCCCTGGGACTTCCAGGAGCACTGGCCGAAAGCTGCAGGCCAAGTAGCAAGGACTTCCTGTGGCTTGTCTTTGTATCGGTCGTCGACAACATTGGTCATTTTGTGAGAACAGGAGCAAGCAGTTTACAGGACATTGATGAGAAGTATATAGTTAGGTCATGAAGGCGTTAGAAGTGGCATTTGATGCACGATCTTACGGTTCTTAGCAGAAGTCTTAAGAAGGCCCTGTTTTAGCATTTTACCACTTGACACCTCTATTTGTCAAGGTGACTCAATGCCCAATATGTTGGGAAATGAAAACTTAGCCATTACATTTGTAGTTTTTTTAAAAAGGCATATATATATATATGTATATATATGTGTGTGTGTGTGTGTGTGTATGTATGTGTGTGTGTGTGTGTGTGTGTGTGTATAGCGAGTTTCCATCGAATTGAAGCCGAGCCTTGGTGACCCTGGGTGTGTCAGGCAGAGCCGCACCCTGCAGGGTTCTCCGTGGCGGGGTTCTGGAGCTCCCAGGCCTTTCTCCCTGGGCACGAGTTGTAGTGGTATCTTGCCAGGTCAATTCTGACTCACCAGAGCTCCATAGCACAGAGTGGAATGCCCCGTAGGGTTTTCTAGGCTGTTGACCATCCTGACAGGAGAGTATTGACAAGTCCCTCTTCCCCTGGCTGCTGGTGGGTGGGTTGGAAATGCAGACTTGGGTTAGCGCTGAGTGTGGACCCCTCACCGGTGGTGCCCCGAGGCTCCTTTAAGGTACCTCCTCCATCAGGCCCTTCAAAATATTCCTGGAGCATTTCATTATCTTTTCATGCCATTTTCCCTGTGTGTTCTGAAGCTCCCTTCCAGCACCTTTAGAAAGGTCCGAGACGACATTTACCAAGCATAAAGAATAAACTGTGAGCAAAGAGATCATTGTTTATTTTATTCGCTTGGTTTATGTGTATTTTCTTAAGTTAATATGCATTACTTTCTTAAAATAAATCATTTTATTGGGAGCTCTTATAACAATGCATACACCAATCGTATTAAGCACATATGTACATATGTTGCCATCATCACTTTCAAAATATTTTCTTTCTGTTTGAGCCCTTCATATCAGCTCCTCTTTTTTCCCCTCCCTCGCCCACCCTCCCACCCCCATGGGCCCCTGATAAATCATATTTTTATTTTTTTATATCTTACACCACCTGCTGTCTCCACTCACATTACAGTTTTTGTCCCTCTTAGGGGGGGTGGTAATTATACATCAGTCATTATAGTCGATTCCCCATTTCTCCACCTTCCCCCTGTGCTCATGGTATCACTACTCCCATTGCTATTCTTGAGGGGTTTATCTGACTTAGATTCCCTGTGTCGTGAGGTCTTATCTGTACCAGTGTACATGCTCCGGTCTAGCCAGAACTGAGGGGTAAAACCCGGGTCATGATAGTGAGGGGGAGGAAGTATTAAAGAATTAGAGCAGTGGTTCTCAACCTTTCTAATGCAGTGACCCTTTAATACAGTTCTTCATGTAGTGGTGACCTCCAACCATAAAATTATTTTCTTTGTTACTTCATAACTAATTTTGCTACTGTTATGAATCGGGCGATTCCTGTGATAGGGTCATTCGACCCCCAAAGGGATTGTGACCCACAGGTTGAGAACCACTGAGCTGGAGGAATGTCGGGTGGTCCGTTTGTGCTGTGCTGCATCCAAAATGCCTGACTTAAAAAAAAAGCATTTTATCGGAGGCTGGTACAACCCTTAGCACAATCCATCCATCCATGTGTCAAGCACATTTGTACATTTGTTGCCATCATCATTCTCAAAGCATTTGCTTTCTACTTGAGCCCTTGGCATCAGCTCCACATTTTCCCTCTCCCTCCCTCACGAACCCTGGATAATTTATAAATTATTATTATTTTTCATGTCTTACACTGCCTGATGTCTCCCTTCACTCACTTTTCTGTTGTCCGTCCCCCAGGGAGGGCCAATATGCATTACTTTTGCAAAGAGAAAAAAGTTTGAAAAGAAATTATTTTTTCCAAAGAAAAAAAACAGGTCACACAATTAAGTCATGTACCTGCAGAGAATAAATTGCGAAGTTACGTAATGGTTGGCTTTTTAAAATAATAGAATCAGTTTTAGAAACTTTGCTAAAGACGCATGTTCCTTTCAGGTTTTCTGCATGAGTGGCGAAGACACTTTTTGCAAGTCGTCGTGACAAACCACTTTTTGAGGATGTCTGAAGATGAAGAGAAGGTGACACTACGCCGTCTTGAGCCAGCTATCCAGAAATTCACCAAGATCGTCATCCCGACAGACCTGGAGAGACTGAGAAAGCACCAGCGAAACATCGAGAAGGTGAGCCTCGCTGTTTCCCATCCCAGGAAGCAGGGGCCTGGCTGGTTTCTATTTGTCGTGCATTCCGGCTAAGTTTAGATTATTAGGTCAGAGGCTCTGCCGAAGACCCAGCTCCTATTGATTTCCCAACACGGCTCCTCTTTTCCGCTGGCTTTTCTGGCCTACAAATGCATTTCTCATATATTCCCGCTTCAGGAAAGGATCTGGAGCTAGACCCTGCACTTATTTAATTGCACATATCGATCTATTGGGCACGTAATTAATATGCAAGCTGGTTGATAGTGCACCACATGTGAAGATGGGGCACTCGGGCTCAGGGCCTGCATTTCCCTGAACCAGACCAAGTTTTCTCCGCTGTGAATGTGTGCCCACCAGCAGCGCCTCCTCTTCAGGCGCATGTGCACGGGGGCTTCAGAATGTTGGTCAGAAAATGAATGGAAGGAGAATGGATTTTTTTCCATAAACTTTTTGAAGCCCCCCCCCACCCATGCTAACAAAGTAATGAGTTGTGGGTTTTCAGAATGTTATTACTTCGCTACCGCCCTTTGAGAAAACCCCCAAATTGATAGACATCGTGTAAAGATTATCCAAGGAACTAGAGTAGTGGTTCTTAACCTTCCTAATGCAGCGACCCTTTAATACAGTTCCTCATGTTGTGGTGACCCCCCAACCATAAAATTATTATTATTATGGTTTTTTAAAATCATTTTATTGGGTGCTTGTACAATTCTTATCACAAGCCATACATCCATCCATTTGTCAAGCACACTTGTACATTTGTTGCCAAAACGTTTTCTTTCTACTTGAGCCCTTGATATCAGCTCCTCATTTCCCCCCTCCCTCCCCACTGCCCCTTCCCTCATGAACCCTTGATAATTTATAAATTATTATTTCTTCATATCTTACACTGTCCGACTCATAAAATTATTTTTGTTGGTACTTCATCATTGAAATTTTGCTACTGTTATGAATTGGGCGACCCCTGTGAAAGGATCGTTCGACCCGGAAGGGGTCGTGACCTACAGGCTGAGAACCGCTGAACTAGTGGGCGGAAGAACAAGGCTCTGGGACTGTGGTGGAGGTTGACCAGACCAGCGGACTGGACACCGGAGCCTGGAGGGGTGGTTACGACATTCTTAACAACATCAGTTCGTTGACTAGTGAGCATTGACTTGGCAAGTTACATTGTCTATTTTGTTGTGCAGGGCCCAGTGGTATTTAGTCCTTCAGAAGGAAATGCAGTGTAACTTTAAGCTGTGTGGCCCTCCCTTGATTCTTATTTTAATCTTTGAAGGAGGTGGGGATGGAGAGATACAGCTAAAGTTTTCAGGAGAAACCCCCTTTATCATCCTCAGCTGAGTAGTGTACAGTATAAGAAAAGTGACACCTTTACCCCCCAGAAGTACCATCTGGGTTACAAATTGGGCCACTAACAAAGTCAGCAGTTCGAAATCACCAGCCGCCCCATGGGAGAAAGACGCGGCTTTCTACTCCTATAGTCTCAGAACCCACAGGGGTACTTCTTCTCTGTCCTATAAGGTCACTGTGAGTTGGAACTGACTCAGTGGTCTTGAGATTTGAGTTTAATCCCCTTACTGTTTAGGTCCCTTTTACATAGTATAGAAAATAAGTTCCAAGAGAATTACAATCCTTTCTCTTTGCTTCCCCTGTGAAAACAAGTAATGCTGTGACTCCTTAAGGAGGGAGCTATCTAGTAACTCGTTATCCTGGACATGAATGGAAGCAAAAGGTTCCAAGCTTTGGTTGGGAACAGCGAGTTGTTCTGTAAGTACAGTAACAATATAGAAATGCATTTGTTTTCTTGTCCTTTTTAAAAAATAGTATTTCCTTGTGTTTTCTGTGACGGCTTACACAGCAGCTCGGTTCCCATTCAGTCTCTCCGAAAACTGTTCAGGGGTGTTGCTTACATGCTTCACAATTGGTGGCCGTTCCCATTATTTCCGTCTGGTTGTTCCGTTTCCACGAACCTACATTCCTTCCTTTGATTTAAAGTAATTATGGTCTTGTGAAGGTGAATTTCAGATAGACCTGGTTTCTTCTGATTGATCACATTAGCTGTGCTTCAAAGTCCTGACCTCATACTAAAGTGGCCAGTTACAAAGGAGACCGGAATTTGGCAGATAAATTGATTCTGAAAGACAGAAATAAGTGGACTATGATCTATTAAATGCCATGTCTTTCCTCTACTGTTCTACTTTTCCCTTTGAGGTGTAGTGCGTCTCCGTTTCCTCTTCTGTCACATGTATTCTACACAAAGCACCTGCCCTCATTGTTGCCAGATCTTAGCCACCTTGTGCCACCCAGTCAACCCCCAGTGGAAAAATCAGAACCCAGAGAGGAAGGCGGAACAAGACCAGGAAGGGTCTATTACTGATTGAGAAGGCATTTACCCCACAGTCATAATGATCCATCCCTCTCTGCCTGAACATTCTTCCTGTAGCATCTTGTGACATTTTCACTTAACGTTTTGGACAGTACCCCAGTGAGGCCTGGTTAACATCGTAGGTGATGCCGTAGGCCACGCCGTTATGCTCCTCCTGCTCTGTGTTTGTTTCATATTCTTAGGCATCTACTATTGTAGACTTTCTAGTTTGATGAAGAAAGTGGCTTTTTTTCTAGTCTGAGAAGCGTATTATGGTAGCGCTGTATGGCAGTGCAAAACACTTAGAAGCTTCAGTGCTCGTTAGGGCTGCACAAAAGAGGTCAGAGCTGAAGTCAGACTCCAGGTGTCTGACAGTGACTTGCTTTCAAAAAGGCATATTCTTCCTGGGGGAAGGGTGTGGAAAGATAAAATATTTATTATGTTGCCCATCAGTCATCCAATATGAATTTAAAAGAAGAAAGTCAGACTGAAGGGAAGCCTCAGTGGAGGGATTCTGCAACATCGGAGAACAATGAGAGTAGTGTGCTGTGGACACCTGGGTCTGTATTCCATAGGTCCTTCAGCATTACATTTTATTACGCACGATGGCCTTGATTAAAATGTAATCCTGAAATTTGAAGTGATAGCATTCAGCCCGCTTGGCCAAGATCGTAGGCTTAAACATTGTGAATATGATGAACAAGGTATACTGTAAGGTTGGGACATCATTTCTTTTGTTTTATATTGTAGGGACTTGAGAGGAAAGGTTGGCATGTATGTTACCAGTATATGGTCAAGGTGCCAATAACAGAAAACCCCAAATATGAGGGGCTTCAAAAAGTTTGTGTGAAAATCCCATGATTTTTTTATTCCATTTTCCCATGAACTTTTTGAAGCCCCCCATAGTAAATTAAATAAATAAGGGGATTAAAAATAAAAGCTGTCCTCCGACAGTCATAGAGGCAGTCCAGAACTGCAGCGGCAGCCCAGCAGTCCACAGGGACCCGGTATCTCCATCCGTTGTTCTGCCATCCTCAGCTTGTGTGGGGTTAAGGGGAGGGGTCCCCCACAAATCATCCCTGGTCTGGTAGGCGCAATTGTACAGCGATAATAAGTAAAGATTATAGTAAAGTCAGAGAGAGCACGAGAGATAAAGGATAGAGTCAGGTAATGGAGTCAGACACAATTCATGGTAGCATTGCTCACCTCAGCCCCGCTTGAGGGTCCTTGTGGGGGGAACCCGGCCACGAGAACAGGAGCAGCCTCCAGGACTGAGAACCGGGAGCCTCCCCTGGCCCGAGAGCCAGAGAGAGCTTTTTCTTTCTTGCTTATCAATCATATCACTTTAGGGGGACATGATTATAGAATCACACGTCACAGGAAGGGGCAGTACAATAGGCAAACACATTGTAGGAAAGGGATCTATAAGCGTGACAGGAAAGGGATGAGCTAGGGGTTTGCCCATAGGAATGGGAAGGTCTAGGGGTATACATTGACAAGATGGGCGGACCCTAGATTCATGATGGCAGTCTAATCTTGGTCATCCTTGGGCGGGTTTGACCTCTCTGGTGTCTCCTATAAGGAAACAGACAACTACTATCCTTATCAGAAGGGAGTGGGCCCTACTTGTTGTGGGATAAACAGTGGTGTCTGCTTGGTCTAGACAGCTGATAACTCTCAGGGAGAATGACCCCCCAAATCCACTCCTGATGACCTCCAAGTGTACAGTCATTCTCAAGCAGCTAAGTCTAGCATAGATTTGGGGGAGACAGCTTGGGAGAAACCCTTCTGTTTCCCATAAGCTTGCTTCTGTCTTGCATGTAAGGTGGCTTCCCGCTGAGGCTAGCACATCCCCATCCCAGTTAAGGTGGAATTGTTGTTTTTAAGTGTTGTCAGCTCCAACTCCTAGAGACTCTGTACAGCAGACAAATCCTGCCTGATCCTGCATGATCCCCACCATTGTTGAGTCCATTATTTCAGGCCCAGTACCAATCCATTTTGTTAAGCGCCTTCCTCTTTTTTTCTGGCCTTCTGCCTTACCAAGCCTGGGGTCCTTCTCCAGGGACTGTTCTCCTCAGATAACATGTCCAACGTGCTTGAGATGAAACCTCTCCATCTTCGATCCTTGGGAACATTTGGGCTGTTCTTCCTCTATGACAGGCCAATTTGTGCTTCTATCAGTCGGTGGCAATATTCTTTGCCAACACCATAATTCCAATGTATCTCTTCTTCTGTGGCGTTCCTAATCATTGTCCAACTCTCACATGCAGTGGAGGTGAGAGAAAATCCCATGGCTTGGGCCAGGTGCACCTTATTCTGCAGAGTGACATTCTTGCTCTTCGACACTAAAGAGGTTTGGGCAGCAGGTTTTCCCAATGCAAAAGGCCGTTTGATTTCTTGATAGTTGCTTCTGTGAGCTTTAATTGTGGATCCAAATTAAATGAAATCCTTGAGAATTTCCATCTTTTCTCCATTTCTTGGCCCAGTTGGGAGGATTTTGTTTTGTTGTGTTACCTACCAAAGGTTGTGTGTAGTGTTTTATCTTCATGAGGAAATCCTTCAAGCCTTCTACATTTTAATTAAGCAAGGGTGTGTGATCTACAAATCACAGATTGTT